AACGTTATCGATAGCCATTTTGCAGGGAAACCACGAATGTATGATAGTTCCGCATTTATGGTGTCATCGATGCATATTTTCACCGCCCTGTTTGCCAAACACTGAATAAGATTTCGTTTGAGTGGCACAAAGCTTCTGAAATGGAGATACTGCCCGCTCCAAGTCGGTTTCCTATAAAGCGATCTCTGAATAGAACCATCTGTGCGACGCTTCAGCCAGATGTCGAGAAAACCAATCCCGTCATTAACCTCTTCTTCCAATGTGAACTTGATGTTGGGATGAGCGGAATTAAATATCCTGACCAAGTTCGACACCATGACATTACTATCCACAAAACATAATATATCATCGCACAAGTGAGAGTTATGGCCAGTGATCCGAACAGCCACCGATCTTACTAGATTAAGACGAACGCGGCAAGCACAAGTGCGAGGTGGTAGGACAGCAACTGGTGCAAAAACATGTTGGTTTTATCAATGAATCACACACCGAAAGGGAATAGGTTGAGCATTACGAACCGAGAGGGTCAAGGAGTGGGTGGTGACTACACCTTTCAAGCGTATGGTTGAGTGACAAGAGTGAAATGAATGAGATCACTGACAAACAAACTGGCATCCAAAGGGTCGCATACCACTTCCAAAAATTCCTGACAGTCTGAATAAGGAAACTTTGTGATGTTGAATGTTGTGTTCTCTACCTTCGACCAGGCTCAAGACACCAGAATGAAGCAGGATTTACCGCGATACGCCTATACACTCAGAAGTTTTGACTTCCGGAAGTACAGCCAATAAGACTATCAAGTGTTGAGTAGTTCGAGAGTGATACAGAAAGTAGGCATAACAATTTGCGCACATGTGGGACTCCCTAAGGAGGCGTCCATAGGAAAATCCCCTATCTAACATCTGAAAACCCATATAATAGGACAACGGTGAGGTGGAATCAACTCAATACGGTGTTGGGATGCAAGTACAACCAACACGACTTCGTCGCAATGGAACCGTCTGGTAGAAACAAATATCTGAACAAAGCGGTTTGAGCTCGCATTTTACACACCGTTTTATCCATGAATGTGAGAATAAACATTGGTGTGAGGCATCAGGGATAGTTCCGTTTCGGCACACAATGGCCGATTACCTGATAACACTCAACAGAAATCGTTTAGTTCCCTCTATTTTTGGTTAAATTGGGTTAATTGAATCAAACCTTGTGTATATGTGATTATACTTCAATTCGGGCAGGCGATATGAATCGCAGTGGTTGGAGCATCGCTTGTTCCCTCTCGTGTGTGGGGGGTCAAGCTCGACCACTGCAGTGTCTCCCTCACTCCCTTTCCCTTGGGTGAAGCGCGTTCATCAAAATGTTGCATATCACGATTGGATTGAAGTGAAATAAGGTAAACCAATCAACGAAAGATATTCACAATCAGGAATTGACAAACGGAGTAAGTGGCCATTTCCAGGGAGGAAATATCAGAAATCTGTGACACTTTCCGGAAACAACTGAAGTTATCCACTTACCTATGAATATCAGTCGGAGCCCAAGGACGCTGGGGAGTGATCCGATATTCTCCATCGGGATAGGTTTCAGCTCGTACAATTCATACACCCCTTGTATGGCGTGCACGGTCACGTCGTCCTCTGTGAAGTGCACCAGACCCTACGAAAATGAAGTGCAAAACTTGTACTCATATACACACAATGGGCTGGGAAAAAAACGGAAAACGTAATCCACTGGCACAATTCGTGAACAAATATATTTAATAGTCATAACTCTGTTCACAAGTCCCAAAGTAGAATGAAATGTAACCAGACGACCTGATTTTTATGAACGAGACTCAGATGACCTTCACAAACCCGGGGTACGTCACCATCTTTCTGATAGAGGCCGGTGTTCTGTGATAAACCGAATACTTCAGCGAAGGATATTTCGACTTTTGCAAAGAAATCCCTTCGTAACCCCATCATATTGAAAAGCACCGATGTGCTCTTCTCATTTCAGAACGTAAAACACGACGGGCATTGAACACGTGGTCAACCGTATAGGATGCTTGTGTTCTGCCTCTACTACGGTTCCATGCTTGATGATCAGTTGCATCGATCCATTTGTACTGCCAATGAGACCCAACCAGGTCGAAAAAGCTGTTTATGACATCCTAGGTTTTCAGTTTACGCTTCGTTTGCTCTGCAGTCGATGGAATTCATCGTACAGTGATCATAATCATTCTTCCCCTGATAATTTAAATTGAAAACTATTGGCCCCAGGCGTGTATAACACATACGAAAACTCTGATTATACCGGAAAGTCACACAATTTGGTCATTGATAGGGTAATTACAGCAGACGTTTGAAAATACCAGGAAAATACCGGGAACGAGGAGTAATTTTATTCAGTTACAAAAGCGGTTGTCGTTTAAACCCAGCTAAGTAAATATCGTCCAATCAGCCTTCCTTCGGTCTGAAGTCATGGAATCTATTGTTGCACACTTAATGATAGGCGATTCGGGGAGCGTCATTCGCATGGAACAGTTGAGATAGAACCCCATCAACTCGAATAGTTCGCTCACTGAGGAAAAATTGATATCCACGATACGGGAGCCGGAGGGAACCCGAACATGGGCAGTTTCGCAAGAAAACCGTGCCGAACTCGATCAAAGGCCTTTGAATGCAGCCAACCGTGAATGCGGGACAAGAACCAGCATGTCACCGGCAGAGCGAGGGTGCCGGAAATCATACTGACGGTCGCTCACTAGTCCTTTACAGTCGAGGAATATGTCGTTGGTCGGAGATGACAGTTTCAAATACTTTCTAAAGAACGGATTTAAGGGGACTGGGTAGTTGTTGGGGTCAGGAAGGTTGCCGTGTTTCGGAATGGGGAAAAACAAAGCGTGTTTCCAAGGGGTTGGAAAAGTAAAGTCAAAATAAATAGAAAGTTGGAGAGAAAGAATCAAAAGACGACGCAAGACAGAAATCAACTCAGGAGAACACATTTCCAGGACGGTGGGGAGGGGGAATACCGCCTGGACATGGTATGGCAGAAAAACTTTGCCAGTGAAATAAGAAGAAGGTGGAGGAGTAGGATGATTGGGTGAGATGGAGTTGGCGACAAATCGGGAAGCAAGAGCTCCGCTTTCTCCTGTGGTTCACATACAAGATCATCAAAGGAATTATAGATCGGGGGAAGTTAGAGGGGCAGAAATTACGGGAAATTGCTTTGTCAAGGGACCAAGATTTTCGGCTACCGGTGGTAGACGAGACCAAGTTTTCGATTTCGAAGCGGACGAAACGGTTCCATGAACGGTTGTTGAGCATATGTTCCAACCCTGCGCGAAGCGATGTTTGGAGTAGGCGAGCGGTGAAGACTGAGCGTTTCAGGCCTACAGCACGATCTCATGCGTGATCAAACCGCTCGGGGGATTTGGGTACGCCGCGTTTGGAAAAGAGCGGAATAAAAATATGCAAACCTTGAAGAACAATCTCTGTGAAGTTGTAATAAACACTGTTGAAAACATTTGAAGTGAAATAACCATCACCCCAAAGATAAGCTAGGAAATCACAGAAACCGTCCCAGTTGGCTTAGTTGTAGTGGCAACATTTGTCTCGAGGTGAGTGGCTGATTGGGGCTAGCAAAGTTGATAGAGCGAGAAACAATACAGTGATCCGATGGGTAAAATGGAGGAAGAGTGCAGATAACCGAGAACAAAGAAGGGTCTAAAGTGAGAATTGGGTCGATGATGTGGGAACGGTCGTCAGCTCGATCAGGGATACGTGTGGAGCGGTCAACTAGTTGGCTCAGCCTGTTGACCATAGCGAGATATTCGACTTCGCATTGTAAAGAAGAAGTAACAAATGAATGTGTCAACCATTCTTGATTATGAACGTTGAAATCGGCTCAGATGGTAATATGGCAGTTGGTGTCGGTCTCAGAAAAGTGCTTAATGATCGAAGATGAAAAATCAAATACAGAGTCGCCACTATTAGGGAAACGATATAGGACACAAAAGTAATAGTTAAACGAAGAAAGTAGGAGCTTCAGCCACATCGGCTGAAATTCCAGATTGGAAACGTCAAGATTTGGGATTCTGGATATAGGGGACTGATTGATGGATAAAGAACACACAAGCTTTAGATAGAAGGGAGTGGAAAGTGTAGCTGAGTACTTGAATGTGAGTGGTGTTTGACGACGAGGAGATTTGTGTTTCGGTCAAAAAAGGACAAGAGAAAAAGAAGAAGAATGGGGAAATTGATGTACACAAATCAATGTTGCGGTTCAATTCGTGAATGTTAGTGAGGGTGGTGAGCGCGTTCTTGTCTGGCGAGTGCGTAGAGCCAGAGGGATTTTGAATTGTCATGTTTGAGTCGTGAGAAGGAAATTGGCAACCATGATCCTGAGACTTGGAATGGGGACCAAAAAAGGTTTCAGGCGTGGTAATACGCCTGATTCTAACAGATTTGATTTTGGCATATCAAAAATTGCAGTCTACAACATTCATCTTATCCGCTGTTCACGTTATCCCCCGAAATCCACCTCAACGGGTATCTGATTAAGTCAGCGCACCAAAATTATCGAGTGGAATGACGGCATAGATTGTTTCGCCTCCGAGTGTGTGCTACTAGGAATCCCTCACGCTGCAAACACGACCGATTGTTCCAAACAGAGAATTGATGAATTAATGACATATCTAGTATTGTACAACAAGTGAAACTAAGCGATATTTTTCATTTATGAGACTGTGAATAGCACTTTTCATCACTCGTTCTAACAACCCGCCGAAGCATCTGAAGCCTCATTCATCCCGGTGTCCCTTGAAAGTTATTAATTGGCTTTTATACGCTGCCAAAAAAGCTGATTGTTACCCGTGGAACAAAACAGAAGAAAGGATCACGGGGATTCCCACACAATACAAGAAACTAATCCACATGCGTTGCATCGACTAATGAATGATATGAGTTAGTGATCGATCACGGAGTGACAACGTTCCGGTCGGGCGGTGACGATCATTATCACATGACATTCGAGATGGAGTGTTCCATCGTTGCCGGTACCGTCAGATTGTTTTCACTGTGCAATACGGAGACCTTCCACTGGCTGCCCCCACCAGCCTTGGAAATTGCCTGAGCAATTATGTGTTCAATAAAGATGAATTCAAATAAACCAATGATTGGATTCAACAACTCACCTTTAATCGCATAATCGCCATTGGTTGGCCATCTGCGTTCATAACATTTTTCTCCCACAATAACGATTCAATGACATTTTCGAATGCGATACGGCAGATCCGATTAGGCAGTTCGATCGTCACGGTCGATATAGACTGATCCAGATGCGATTGCCCGGACGCGGAGGGAGGCATAAATGCTTCCAGACAAGGACTGTGGAGGGATAACATCGAATTTATAAAGATAATGAGGATAGTCAGCGAAGAAAAAGAGCAGGCGAAAAAAATACAAAAATCCAGAAACATCAAACTGACCGTGAAGAGTAGAGATTGAGATCCAAAATATTCGAAAGGTCAACTCTGAAAGGAGAAAAGGAAATTACTTGAAAGTGATTTGAATTTAGGTCAGTAGACAAAGAGCGTGTGTTCGTTTCTCGAAATAATGAATTGGTTCGAACATCGATGAAACCAACAAAACATCAGTTTCTCCGAAAGTGGGTAAATAATCTATCTCGATCCAGAAAACTGTCCCACAAAGCACACCTCTTAGAATATTTACTGGGGAAGTCCTCCGAACTTTCTTTTAATGGCGAGGATATTTTCTATGAAAGTCAGTAATCAGAGGGATCGCCGAGCTCCTGAGTCATAGGTAGCTCGCACATCGGGGGGGGGGGGGGAGCGGGAAACCCTACGTTTAAATCTCGCAGAGGGACACTTTTCTGTGACTGCAGAACAACGGAAAATTAGCATAGGATCACAGGACAATACAAATTTTCATGTCAGATAGATGCGCTACGTACATTGTTGTTCGGATAAAATAATTACAATTTACAGTATGTTAAAACATGAAGTTTCCAAATGCATTCCATTCATCGCCTGATTAGAACTGTGCACGGTCGATGAACCATACCAGCAGGGATGAGGATTCATGCTCCCATATGGCGAAATGGAATCGGCATACCCGTCATTGAGTACATGCATACACAACCCATTGAAACAAGACCGGAATTCTGTCGCCTCGACCTAATCGTTAAGTAATCACGCAAATTGGATTTCCGATTACCTAATCGACTAGGTGGATCTCGGAAGTCCGTATCCTCACTGTACTCCAGATCTGGTTTTACTTCATCCTCTCGCTTACTCATCGTTAGCATGGTGTTGGTTTCATATATTGTCCGCAGTTTGCAAAAAGATGTACACGGTAAAGAAATAGATTCGACTCACTGAGCATAAACGGTTTCGACCAGTTTTGCAGCTGAGTTAATAGATCTGGGAAAAAAACGTTCAAAGCAATTCTTAAGGGCAATTCATGAGCGTTGACGGTTAGAGTCCACATTAAATATCAGAGTAGATATCTATTTCATAAGAGCGACAACAAGAATCAACAAACAACAGGTTGATTTCAACTATTTCGTGTTATCCCTTCAGCTTTGTACAAACGTTCATGTGAGAATGTGATCAGGAAAATGACAAACCTTTACAGTGAAGGGAGAGCCGTCGTGCATGGAGCAAATGAAGCGTGAAATGAAAAGCTGTTTCGACCCGATCGAGTCTCATCAACAGTCCGAATCTATCAACCAAACTGCGACTCGAACCCGGGATCTCAGAGGCGGAATGAGAGCATCCTACAGAGTTGGGTCGATAAATTCGCCGTGGAGATGCGGCCCGACCAGGTCTGAACAGTGATACAGTGATTCCCTGCCTTTCACGTCACGTATCATTCGCTCCATAAACAAGGAATTTCCTGTTGAAAATGAATCAAACCCTCCGGGGCATTCATGCAAATCCGTAATTATGAAAATTACTGGACTAAGCAAAATCAATGCGAAGGTCAAAGGTCATCAGTCACACATCATCACACTCCGGTTGAACAGAGGAAAAGGGTGGGAGAACACGCCTAGCGATCGGACTCACGATGGCTGCCCTACCATGGGAGGGTGAGGCTGGCCACACAGTCTAGTAAAAGGCTTGATTTCCAGAGTGAAACGATGTTTTTCTGTGGAAAGAAAACTTGAAAGCGATCTTGAACTGATATCCTGTGCATTATAAGATAAGGGATATCCGCGGAATTTCATTGTCAAGCAAGGCAATAACACAGAGAAACGACGTACCAATGAAAAACGGTCGCATCACATTACCCTTTAAAAATGATCAGAATGAGAAAATATTACACGGTCGGCTGAAACAAGCTCCCTCAAGAACGTACAACGCAGCTGCGCTAATTATTTTGCATAAAAGTAGACGAATGAACACTGAATTCAGCTTGGACAAGCTGAGCTCTCAAGTTACCTCCTCGTGTATTTACCTATTTCAATGTGCTTGCGGTAGCAAGTATATCGGAAGAACTGTGAAACGTTTGTCCACTAGGATCTCAGAACAGGTCCCGAGAAATTTAGCGTCCAATGGCTAGAAAATTCCCTCCGGCTCTACTGCCCTCCGTATATTGGACTGCAAAGTTCGCACCGATCCGAAGCAAGCATTCCGAGTGTTAAAGCAGCAGAAAATTGGGCGATTGTTACGGTTTTCCGAGGTCGCAGCCATTCAACGTCACAAGCCAGACCTCTGCAAACACTTAGACTGTGCGGCAGCCATCGTGAGTCCGATCGCTAGGCGTGTTCTCCCACCCTTTTCCTCTGTTCAACCGGAGTGTGACTGATGACCTTTGACCTTCGCATTGATTTTGCTTAGTTCAGTGTTTTTGATTTTTAAATTTTTCTCATTGTCCTGATCGAACTCTCCCGTGAATGTTTGTACACAGCTGCAGAGATAATGCAAGACAGTTGAACTCAACCTGTTCCGTGATAATGCTTGTTATCGCTCCCTTGAAGGATATAAATGTCAATGCTATTCGGTTAAATCTGACATCTTCATTAGGTGCTGAGATGGCCTTTCCTTCGGTGTCGGAGTTAACAATGATTGAGAACAAGCTTGTTTTCAGTTATTCGTAATCATGCCATTACATAACATTAAATATGACTAACAATAAGAACAATGATTAACAGCGATTATTATCACAGATCGCGATTAACATTTTAGTACGTCTCGTGAGTACGCGATTAATAGCTCTGAACAAAGCAGATGATCATCGAAATATTTTTACCAAATCAGTCTTCGCCGGGACAGTCCATAGTGCTCTTGTAATGAACAACTTTTTGTGATCTTTCTAACACGAATCAGAAGTAGTTTCTTTCAATTATTTTCAAAAAAATCTTGCTATATTTACAGTGACAAGATGTGAGGATGCACAGTTGTAGCAGCAACCCGTAAATCAGGTAGTGATGGCGACTGGAAGCAAAACAGATACTATTCGTGAGATTATCGAACAATGCTTTGGTCACAAACCTAGGTGCGGACGAGATCACAAAGACCTGCTGATCAGTTAAGGCAACTGGTTAATCGAAGTCCTAAGACCTGACACAGTAATCCACTTAGAGCCCTAGTAGGATCCCAAGAACGGATGACAGTGTTGTGTTTTGTCTAAGTGTACGAATGACACGAGCGACTCTTGCTTAAACCCCAACGACAACGCGGAGAGAGAACACA